CTTTCCCCCCCCAACATTTTACCAGCGCAAATACCGCTGTTCATGTTGTAAACGCGCGTTCATTGAACGCGCGCGTTCACTCCGTTCAATTTTTGAACGTTGAACCCGCGTTTAATGAACGCGCGGTTACACAGTAAGTGGTTTCTGGCTTAATCATTTCGCTTGGAAACAATGTCTACCTCTTCACCAAGCGAAATCCTCCCTCAGAATAAAACAAGATACTCAACCATTCATCTTAGAAACAATGTCCAAGTTATCTCAAGTCACGCAAAAACATAAATTTATACCATTCGACTTGGAAACAATGCTGAAGTTCAATATGAAACCTGAAAAGAAACAGATAGAGCAGGCCATTCAACTTAGAAATAATGTTTAATCTAAAAAAGAGAAAACTACGGCGCAGTCAGGGATCGAGTTTGTAATTGCACTTGAGGCAAAAGGGCCGGTAATGCTGAATGTATATGACCTACGTTTCGGGTCCGGTGGGGTCACGTGGGGGTGTGTTGTATTCGCGGGACTGCCTGAACTGCAATTACAAACTGTTTTCGTGACTTCACCGAATTTACCCCTCTAAAAAATCAGACACGTAAACCCTCATAAAAAACACAGCAACCAGGCCATTCAAATTAAGAAAAATGTCGTTCGAAGGGGTATGGGGAAGCCTCGTCCTTCGTAGAGAATATTTTCTGGGTAGGAAGGAAGGCGGTGTTGTGGGCTCTGTGGTGGTAGAGGTGCGTTCTGACCATGGAAAAGGCGAGGGCAGAAGGGGAGGAAATCATCGAACAAATTCAGCAACAGGTTCAGTTAACGCTGGTACGAAGGTGGGCGGACACGAAGTCACAACTGGACCTTTTCTCACAGATCACTGATGTCAGAATACTGATTACAACATTTTGTAAAGAGTGGTTGGGAGGAGAAAGGGAAGGGTGGGTAGCAAAGGTCACATGGGGAGGGGACAAGGAGGGTGATACACGAAGCCCGAAAGACATGAGGGACATGAGGGATTACAAATTAGAGTTTAGGGACTGGATCCACATGGAACCCTCTTTTCCACTGCGCCCCCCCACAGACTTCCCAGATCCCTTCCCTCCCCATGCTCTTTCTCTATCAGAAATTCTGGTGTGATCAAAGTACTTGGTAACGATTGATGTGGGGCAGGTAAGGAGACGGAAGGAGGTCCCACTAGTGCCCCCCAATGGCTCCTTCCGTTTTCCCTACAGGACACCTAGGCGGGATGAGGGATCCGGGTCTCAGCCAGCAAGGATTCCAAAACTCAATCCAATTAGTGGGTAATCAATGCTGGCAAGGGATTTTTCATAATCAGCATTTGATGGGCTTCCAGGGAAATTGGCGCTCTTCTGCACCCTGCTCAGAGTTGGACCGCACAGGAAAAGGGATGCAAAATCCGTCCGGCCAAAAAAAAGGGGCAAAGAATTTTGGAAACCTGGAAAGCAGTTCTGCGGGGACCCCACCGAGGAGGACCAAATGCGCCGTGGAAACCCTTTGGGAATCAGTTGAGCCAATCGTTGCCTTTCTCCGTCGGCACTCTTTTTCTTTTTCTTGTTTTCTTTGTTTTTACTTTCTTTTTTGTGGCACTCTTGGTCGCTATTGGCTGCTGCCTCCCATGAGACTTTTCCAAGACCTTTCCAGGACAGACACGCCCTCCCCCCTACCCTCTAGAGTTGGCACAAAATTGCGGCAAGGAATCCTCCCGTGAGACCTTTCCAGGCTGCGGACTATGTGAAAACAGAAAACTACATTTTTCCAAGCCGCAATCTTCGGTTTGTGGGGTCTGGGAAAACGGTTTGCGGGAGAATTTTCACCTTTCCGTGGACATCTGCCGCAGGCTTTGGGGTCCTGGAAACAGTTTTGCCGCAAAGTTTTTCCTTTCGGCGGTCCTGTGGGGTTCAACTCTCAGTCAATCCTCTGGTGATCCAGAGTAATCAATGCTGGCAGGCCCATTGCTTTCCTTGTTCTGATTCATATGTACTATTCTGTATCTGGGACGCTGGACCCGTTTTCCAGCAGATGATGCTCCCCACCAACAAAAAAAAACAAAAAAAAACAAACAAAAAAAAGGTGTGTTAAAATTGCAGGCAGGGGCTTCTAGGGGGGCAGGCAGTCCTCGCAGCCCAGGACCAGCTGTAAGGAACAAAAAAGTAGCCAGGGGCCCACGTTTGTCCATTTTTCTCAAGTAGAAAAGGCAAATGCATTGTATTCTAACACAAAGCACATCTCGAAATTCCAAAGAAAATTTCCCTTTGCTAGTTTTTTTCAAGGTTAGCGCCTCTCCTTGTGCCCCCCGTCACTTACACGCTGCGTGTTGCAGGGCTCTCTCTCTCTCTCTCTCTCTCTCTCTCTCTCTCTCACACACACACACACACACACTCAACTCTCCCATACCAACACACACGCACACACACTCTCTCTCACACATACGCACATACTCACTTTCACATACTAACACGCGCACCCACCCACCCACACACACACACACACCAGCCTTGGAGTTGAGTATAACGAACGTGACAAACCACATCAACAGACAAATACGGGCTGCGCACTCCACGCCCTCACTACGTCCTGCGCACTCGTGCGCTCGCATCAATAGGTGCCCCCGGTTGCTCCATCTATTGGTAGGGAGCTGCACCTGCTGGAAACAAAGATCACAGTCGGATCAGACATGCATTCCCACCAGCATTGATTGTGGCGGGTACCCCGGGGTGCGGCAGGGGCTGCCTTTTCAACCCGGTTATACTAGGTACCGGAAAAATCCGTGGCTGCCTAACACCCCGTTATAGAAGGTTGTAACAAACTCTTCAGTTCCCCCCTTGCCACCAAGTTTTTTTTTTTTTTTTTTTTTTTCCTGGAAGGGCCCAGTGCCCAAGGCTCCAATTAGAAAATTGATTACAAGCTTATACCCACGCCTCTTCCCATTAGGGCTGGAAGAGCCTCAGCCACTGCGCCCCTGGAGACAGCTTCCCTGCATAACACGATGCCACCATGTTTCTAACATTTCAGTCTGTGAAAGGGGGACGTAACGGGAGCACCTCCTTATATCCGTGCTGGCGAATTGAGGGATCAAGTCTTGTTATTGATGATACTTCTTTCCCCTCCTTAATGTATCTATCGAGCTCACGTTTATGTCGTGGACCCCCATGGCACCCTTATATAGCCGTTTCTAGCGCCTGTCACGTCCGTGAGGAATCCCGCATGACATAATTTGCCATTGGATGTCTGTGCCGTCTCAACACTGCGCCCCCCCCCCACACCCCACCATGAGGAAGCCTTGCCTCTGCACACCTCCGTTCCCATAAGAATTCGAACTCCTCATCTGTTTGCTTATATGATGTCCTAAATGTCAATGTGTCCGGATCCCATGTATCCCATTCCCATTCTCCCACCACAAATGTTGCATTACCATTATGCCACCGCAAAAGTGTGCCCTCGCGCCAACATATGCGCATTCTTGAGCGCGTGGCCTCCCGCACAGTTACCCATCGTCCGATCTGAAGGCCAAAATTTAATAAGATTCTCTGTGCGACAGGTTCTTCGTCTCCAATCACTTAAGATCGGGAGTGCCCATTCCGATTACCTCTTCTTGATTTCGAAAGCTTTCTTGTTATTAATTCAGACAGAAATAATGCTGCAGAAGGACAAGAAGACAGAGCACGAACAGGAGCAGGTGTACACCTTTCTTCTACACATCCTGGGCAAGGAGCAGCGGGGGTTGAGGCGGAAGGCGGAAGAGGGGAACACAAGCGAGGGGGGTATGCACGGTATATACACTACCATCCCCTACACATCAATGGTCTGATGCCACATATTGAAGGAGAGGGCTCGGGGACCAAGGGGGCGGGGGAAAGAGAGCAGAGGGAAGACAGGAGAATACCCAGGGGGGAGTCGAAAAGGAGAGAACGAAATCACTTGTATGCACGGTATATCCATTAGTACTACACGAGGTGCACCTTCAGCACCTTCAGTATCGGCAGTACGCCACATACACATCAATGGTCTGATGCCACACATTGAGCAGGAGGGAAGTTAAGCCGTAGGTGATCAACGAGGAGGGCGTGGGGCTCCAATGCACATAAAGGGCGGCGAACAACTTAGCAGCACGGAGAGAAAGAAGCATCCTGGGTTTGCAACTCCATTTGAGAGAGAGGTAGGGAGGGAGGTGGCAGGGGGCGAGTGCTCTGACTGAACTGCGGATGAAGAAAGGGAAAACAGATGGAAAGTTCACTGTCCATATTACGTGGTCATTTCAGGTTTTCAGGTTTGTTTCTCCTTTCTTTTTTAGGACATAAATTCGAACAGCGCAAATTAAAAAAAAAAAAAAAAAAAGCCTACCATGCAATTGTAAGAATTGATAGATATCCCCCTTACTGCCTTCGTGATTGATCTGAGTTTCATTATACTCCGCCCAATCGCAATCGGATCTTGACTGCGGAGGGCAGGACAGGTTAGACCGAGGGGAGAGGGCGGGAGACGGGGTGAAAAACTCGTTGCGCACACGGGAACGCAAGTTAAGGACGAAGAGAACAAATTCAATCACTCGCTGAACGAACAGCAGCATACATGACAGAAAAAAAGAAAGACAAATAAGATCGAGCAGTAGCCATCGGAGCAGCATACATGACGGAAGTAAAAGAAAGACAAATAAGATCGAGCCATCGGATTATTTTCACTGATAGAATCATAAAAATCTGTCTAGAGAACCATTTTTGTGAGTACGTCAATACCAAATTGATGCACAGATCAGCACCATCCCCCCTCCTCTCCCACAGTCTAAGTGAATCAGCGCCACGGACGGACTGTCAATTCCTTGTCACCAACTGTCTCCTCCACACTTTTCAACTCCCTCCGATTCTCTCTCTCTCTCTCTCTCTCTCTCTCTCTCTCTCTCTCTCTCTCTCTCTCTCTCTCTCTCTCTCTCTCT